CCTCATCAAAGCCTTTGTAAACTGGCTGTGTGTGCCAACACCAGACACCTCTGCCTCCTCTGGGGCCTTGAATTGAACCACAAGCCTTAACAAACTATAGTAATTTCCTGAGCCTTCAACCAAATGCTGAACTGTGAAACTAATGCTTTTGGCTTTTAAATAACATCAAGTAGTTTATACCAGAATGAAAATTATATGTTTTCCAAAATTATTTTTCACATCCCCTGACTAATTGTTAAAATCAAACCTAAACAGAAAACAATATGGTTTAGATTCCTGGTTTGTGTGGAGTCCCCCTAAACTCAGGCTGTGGGGGAGCAGATAGTTTCCATGTGATGTGACTGAGGGCCTACAAAGTCATTTTGCCTAAGACAATCCTTAGAACTCCCTGCCACAGTGCCTGAGACCTCCACCATTACCTACCCCTCCTAATTAAGGCACCTGCTTCACCTATACCTGGATTGGGGGGGGGGGTAGTTGTCTTCACTGGGCTAAAGTTTGAGAACTGCAGGTCTAAGGCCTTAGCAAACACACCAGGACCTTGGGCTTTCTGTCCAAAGATGAGCTATCCCACTTCTTCACATCAATGGTTCCTAGATGTTTGGGAGCATCAGTCCCACTTGCAGGCTTGTGGAAACAGATCCCTGGGCTGCCCTTACAGTCGCTGATTCAGCAGGGCAGAGCTGGGGCAGAGAATCCCAGGAGAAGCTGCAGCTACTGGTTTGAGACCTCATGTTGAGAATCACTTTGCTGGTCTGGTTTTTAAGGAATCCTAATGACTTGTGAGGCAAAGTGTGAAAGCACTCTAATCCAGAATGAAAAAGGAGACAGAGATCTATGAAATGCAGAAGCAGGGCAGCCGGCAGAACACTCAAACTTGCTTGAATGATCCACCACAACACAAGGTCTTTACCCCAACTCTGACGGGCTCTGTTTTCTTCCTTTCCTTCCGGGGCATTTTCTGCCTCCCACCCCTGTGAAAGGCGGGTGGGCAGGCAGGCCCCCAGCAGCCCAGCAAGGACTCTGAGGCAGGAGGAAAGGTGGTTCTTCCTCGAGGCCCCCCCTGGAGGACATGGTCCCCCAGCTAATCAGGCCATCAACGTGCTTCTCGGGCCCTCTGCACACTCCTGCGGGGGTTCCTGACATTTCTTAGGTTTTGCATGGCACTCAGTGAAGTCTTAATGACCCCTTCCCCCCTTTCGGGATCATCCATTTCCCAATAGAATAAATTCAGAGGAAAACACGCTCTGACCCTTCAGCTGCCTCTTCTGAACATTAACAAGGAATAGCCTGCTGAGGAGGTGGGAAGAAAGGGGTTTGTAACAAGACCCCAGCCTGGGAAGCCTCTCAGGTAGGGCCTCATGATTCCCCCTTGGCCACAGTGTCAAGAGCTGAGTCCACATCTCAGTGGAGGGGAAAGTGACATCTGGCGTCTGTCCGGTAGGGCCATGGCGGCTACTTGGGCAAATCCTGCCATTGATTTAGCCTTCTGTACATCCGAGAGCACATCCACGTTTTTCATTTGACTCTAATGAGAATCCTTTGAAATAAGCAGAACAGGAATGACTTTCTCCTCAAGAACATTGAGAAGTGAGGCTCAGAAAAAACAGTAGTGGTGGAGTCAAAACCCTCCTTCTTTCTTGATTGGGAGATCTTTGAAAAAAATCCCTTAAATTAGGAAAAGGACTTTTCCAAGGTCATGCAATTAGTGAGGTGAGTAAGAATAACAGAGACCAGTGTTTCCCAGATGGCTTCTGTTGAAAGAAACCATCAGAGCCTTCCTCACTGCCAGCTCCCCGAGTCTCGGTTGTAGGGAGCCTCTAGTTGCCCTCTGAACTTTGCAAAGACCAAGACCCTAGAGGTGGTGTGCAGAGGGACACATACCCCACACGCTTCCTGCCTATGACTTGGAGCCCCAGTGCTGCCAGCTGCTCATTAGAGACGAGAAGGCCTTTCTCTGGGCATCTCCTTCACTAAACAACATAGCAGGCACCTACGTGTGTCAGGCCCTGTGCCAGCCAAGGAGATGTGGGCACAGAGGACACACACTGTCCACTCATGAGAAAGACAGGGAGAGGGAGAACAAGGCTGCTGGATGCGTGGGAGTCAGGATCCATAAAGCTTTAAGAGGGCTTAAGCTTGGAGCACGTTGCCGATAGATACCATCCTCCAGCACGCTGGACAGAGCAGGTGCACGCGGCAGATGCACACGTCTGACCCCAACCAATCCAGTCTGGAAGAATTATGTGCTCTTTTTCCAAGAGTCAACACTTCTACCCCCAGGGAACCCGTGAGCCCAGTCACTTCCTATCTACGACATGCTGGGAGAGGACTCTTCCTTCTGTTCATTACACAATTCAGCTAAAGGCCACATGTCAGGCACAGTGATCAGACTTCATGAGGGAACCCAAGATGAACATGAGATGGCCCTCATGGAGCCAAGGAAAGCGCAAAGACACAGGCACAGGTGCCCCTGGGTGGAGGAGAGAACAATCAGTGGTGGAAGACACAGGTGTGGGATGGGGAAAGACGCCATGGGAACTCAGAGGAAGGAAAAAGGAATCCCAGCCAGAATCCAGAAAGCCCTCCCTCTTGGGATGTGGGAAAGCCCCAGTGTTGGAGCCCCTCCTGCTGTGGCCCACCCTGTAGGCTCTAGAAAGCCAGTTTCTCTCTGTTTTGAAACGGATCATTTGCCCTAAGTGCCTCACAGCATTCTGAGGATTAAACGAGAACTGATTTAAACGCACACTGGATAAATAAAAGCACCAAATATAAAGCCTGTCTTTACCACTGGGGGAAGAGAGGGCAGAAAGCTAAAAGCAGAAAGCGTGTGAGGGAGGTAGCAGGGTTGGGGTGGGTGGCACTTGCCAAATAGCAGGGCATGGGGTGATGTGAGCACCCACTGGGCTCGTGACCGCCTCCAGTGATTTCTTTAACCTCCCACAGCTAATTTTATTGAAGAGAGCCAGAACATCTAAATTCCTCTGCATGGGGAAAATGAAAGTTCCAACCAGGGAAGGCCTTCCCAGCCCTGAGTGACTGGTAACAACACCACAGCCCGGAACTCACAATGGCTCAGGGGTCCTGTAAGCCTCTGTCTCTCTGCCGCCCAGCACTGGGCCTGGGCTCGGTGTGTGCTCAGCAAGCCCCCATTAATGAATGGATGTCGTCCTTACTGCTCTCCAAGGAATTTTACATACATTCATGGTTCACTTTGATTTTTAACCACAACCCAGAGGTGCATGATTATTATCCCTGTCAAAGATGGGGAAACTGAGGCTCCCAGGGGGGAACAACCATCCATGCCCAGGCTAACACTTTTAGAAGGAAGCCCAGAGCCCTGACATCACCATCACCACCCCAAATTAGTATAATACTGTAGCAATCTTCACTATGACAAGCCATCTTCCCCGACTTCACTGAGGGCCTATTACCCGCTGTTCTGAGCTACTGCTCTGTAACGTTTCATCATACCCTTTTATCAAGGTTACCTTTACCATCCCAAAGGTACTGGCTTGTTCCACTTTAAAAGGTGGTTTTTGTGTCTCCCAGATGTAAGAGTGCTATGGATTTTCTGAGTCTTTTTACCACATAAGAACAGATTTGTCTTAAAATCTGTGCTTCAATTGTTTGGAGTCCCTGCTCCTTAGAAGAAAGAGAAGGAAGAAACAGCTAAGGGTGTCAGGAAGACAGAAGGCCACTGCCTGTATGTTTGTATGCTTGTTTGTTCATTTCTTTGATCTTACCATGGACTTTCTTGCCTACAGGATTTGGCTGGCAGTTTTGACAGATGGCCTGGCTGCAGGAGGGACAGAGGATAAGTTCATGGTTAAGGCGGCTAAGTAATCCATGGCACCAAGGAGCTAGAGGCATCTAGGCTGATTTTGGGTTTGAAATCTGGGCTGGAGCCCCAGGTCCAGCCACGGAGGGGAGGACAGAGAGCTCCGCTCCTCCCTGACCTTGAAGCCTGCCCCTACCCCTGTATCAGGCACATCAGTGCCTTTCTGTGCAAAGTGGTGAGGGAGAGAGAGGGACCAGCCCAAGGGCAGAGCTGCCCCCGCCATGACACACCCCAGTCCCTTGACTGAAAATAGACCCCTGTATACCTACTTCCTAGGACATTTCATTCTAACACGTGATTTTGTAGCATGAAGGTTTTGCCATGAGGCTGGATACCACACCCCCTGCCCCTGTTGAGGGCTGACTGGGGATGGGCTTATCCTGGGCAGCTCAGGGGAACCCCTAAAATGGCAGGAACTTGAGGTGGGGAGGAACAGAATGTCAGAGAATACGCAGCTTCTGAAGAGAGCAGTAGACTAGGCAAGGGGAGATTTGGGCCCTTGAGAACAGGTTAGTGAACTTTCATCTCCACTGGTGTGGTCGGATCAGCTCTAACCCACAGCTGGTGGAACATTTGGTACTCACCATGGGGGGTCTTGATGACAACATCCTGACACCCATGGCTTTCGTATCACACCAAAGGGCAAGGGCATCAGAGTACCCAGGAGAGTGGAGTCATTAGCTGGAGGATTAGTTTATCTGATTAACCTTTTGTGCCCACTTTCCCCTGAGAGACAGGAACACAATACTGGTCAGCATGGATGGGAGGAGGTGGTGAGATGAGCCAGAGCATGAGGCTTGCTGGTGGGAATCTGGGATGAGAGGATGCTAGATGTAACTTCACCAACCACACGGTTTTAAAGCCATAGAATCTAGAGCTAGAAACAATTCTAGAGATCATACAACCTCTGCTTAGTCACGGCCACATGGCAGAGCCAAGACCATAGATGGCCATGTGGTGGTGCCCAAGAACCAGCTCTCCCCCCAAACCCCCAACAGGGATTTGTCAGGCCAGTGATCTTTCTAGCATCCTCTAGCCTCCTCCCCAATACTGATCCTCGTCCTCTCATGATCATGGAGTTAGGCATGCCCTCTGGAACACTGTGAGCATTCCTGAGATTCTATGGACCACCAGGATCCCTCATTCCAGCCAGACGTACCTTGTGTGAATAATGCTGATCAACGATCCTTGCCAACCCAAAATCGCCGATTTTGAGCACGAGGTCCTCTGTGCTGATGAAGATGTTGGCGGGCTTCAGGTCCCTGTGCAGCACGTTGGCAGAGTGGATGTATTTGAGGCCGCGGAGCAGCTGGTACATGAAGAGCTTGGCGTGCTCCTCTGTCAGTGTGCCCTGCTCCAGCAGGCGTGCCAGGTCGGTCTCCATGTACTCCTGGACGATGTAAGCCACGCTGAACTTGAACAGCTCGCCCTGCAGGTCGGCGCCCTTGGGACCCAGCACCTCGTGCACCTTGACGATGTTGTCGTGGTCCAGGCGCCGGATGATCTTGATCTCCCGGAGCGCGTGCTTCATGCTGCGGGAGTCACTCAGGGTGATCTTCTTCACGGCTACCTTCCGGCAAGCCCGGCTGTCCACAGCTGACAGCACCAGCCCATTGACACCAAAGCCCAGGGGCTGGAAGTCAACAAAGCGCCCACCGAGGTCATACCCATAAACATTGGCGATGCAGTCGCCCTTCTCGGCCATGGTTGGCTCAGTGGTCTGGGGCTGCCCGGGTTATAAAGGGGCAGTTGGGAAAGGCTAAGTCCCAGCTAGTGGCCTCCCTAGCACACCTCATTCTGTCAAGCCCCACAGTGAAGGGATGCCTTTTTCTCCAGTGATATCACTGTCACCAGCTCTCTGGAGACAAAAATGGTCTATGTCCACACTCGTTGAGCTGCCTGAGGTGGAGGCTCAGGCAGGCTTCTTAACCTGCATCAGGAGGGCTGCTCCCCAACTTCTGTACTTCCTGAACCTGGTCTGAAGCATAGAATGGCTCATACTTCTTTTAAATCTAGCATCTTGGAAAGAAAAACCAGTATCATCACCTGTGGGAATCCAACGTTTTCTACCATAATGTCCCTCAAAGTAAAAAGAGGCAGAAACTCTCTTCTTTACTTTCCTACAAGGGGTTCTTTCTAGCTAAAATCAAGAGCTGTTTGTTCCTTTACTTAAGATGGTCCAAAGCTCAGTTGTATCACAGCCTCTCTCTATGTTCCAAGGAGTATGAAGGGTTCCCATCAATGGATTCTGGAGGCTTCTTGGGAGTTTCTGTCTATCTCTTCCAGCTCCTCTTCCTATCAGCTCATCTTAGATTCTACAAGCCAAGCCAGTGTGGTAAGAATTGCTTTAAAAAGCTGGTGAAACCAAGGACCTCTTCATGAGCTCTACATCAAGTTACACCTGAGGTCCCAGGTCCAGAAGGAGCTCAGCTGCCAGTACATGATCCTCTGGAGGCTTCACATGTGGGCAGCATCCTCTTCCACTCACTCACCCATGAGACTTTGACGGAGACTGTATTCTGCAGCACCCAGGGAGGATGAAGGAACACGGCATCTTTCAGACCAAGTCTCCTTCCCTGCCAAAGAAATAACGTTGGGTAAATTTCCACATTCCAGCTTCCAACACCTTCCCACTTGCGTCTTTTGTTAACCAGCCCAAGTGTTATTTGATCTGTCCAGCCAGCTGAAACACTGCTTGCTCAGAGGATTCCAGGCTCTGCCCAGCCACCCCTCCTGCCGTGTGCAGCATGTCCCTAGAAGAGGGAGAAGACAAATTGATTTGATAAGACCATCAGATGGTGTGCCTTTTATGTCAGTGCCTGTTCCCCCAAGGTCAACACGTGCAAATTACTGGGGGAAGGGAATTATCCCTTCTGACCTTTGCAAAATAAATTTGTCATGCTCTCCAAACACACACATCAGAGCTAGCCTGGAAGGGTGAGAGTAGGAAGTAGCTAGCTGCAGACAGAAAACAAAAGATTGATATCTTGTCTTTGCAGTTGGGACCCTTTCCTCCTTCTTTTGCAAATGCCTTTGAATATTTTAAGAGAGAATTTGCCAGGGATTGAGATTTGTATCTCTTGTTTTTCACGTAGGTGGCAGAAGCACATATACCAAATACAAAGAAATTGTATTGCCGCCCATAAAAAAGGGAGTCTCTTTGCCCAGAAGCCAGGGAACAGCTTTCCCAGCCCTACACCAGTATCAGCCTGGTGAACTGCATTCCAGAAAGGGGAAGGACCTAGCTCTTCAAAACTATGGGTCAAATCCAAGCTTCAATGTGCCCCCTGGTGGCTGTTGACTCAAATTACAGGTACAGACCAAAGTGGGGAGTGGGAAAAAATCCCTGCAAAACTAGCAAACTATATTCAAACCTTTGTACTAAAGGCATTATCATAGCTTCTTCATAAAGTCCATGGAGACACAAAGAAAGAACATTGTATCCAGCACAAACGAGTGCATCTGGCTGGGCTGCTGCTTAATTCTTACTATACTGCAGGGCCTTCTATGAGGACAATTTCCTATCTCAACTCTACACAATTCTGCAAATGATAAATGAAGCAAAAAAAAAAAAGTCAACTCAATGTTTTGAAATTAAGGGAGGAACTATCAGGTGAGATAGATTTACTGAAATAGTAAATAATGTGACCCCCCTTAACACTTCTAATGAAAGAAATTTTGCCAAGAACATAGTGATTGCTCAATGGGTATTAGTTATTGTTGCTGTTTTTAAAACATACTCTTACATTTGAGTAAGATGTACTTACTATTCTGATAATTTATCAGAGCTTCAGCAATTCTACTCTGCATGTTTTTATTGGGGCCCACAGTAAACCAATCATAGACTTACAGAATTTCAGATTGTGAAGCAATGTGAGTACCCTGGTCCTTAACTGAGGATGGTATTGCCTCCTTGTCTTGTTTGATGAAGAGTCATCCCTAACTGAACATCCCTATTCATGGATAACTGGCCTCTACCCTTACAGCCCCAAAAGCCAAGAGCACTTCCATGGATAAACACTGATTCTGTTTCAAGTTCTCACTTTGCAAGTAAGGACACTGGGTCAGAGAGCACCAGCTTAGTGCCTCCAGCATGGACAGGTCAACATGCACGGGATGAATGGATAAACAAATACCATTCACCCAGAGGATGCCTCGCCACTTACAGACAGTGCCAGGCTGCCTGGATCCCCAGCTCAGGAATTGAAGAGCCACCACAATTCCTCATTTTGAGGCCCCTCTGATTCCTGTCACCCAAGTCGGGTAACTGCAACTAAACTGAGCTGCTTTTACTTTTTATCAATATGCCTGGTCTGACTCCCAAGGGCACAACAAAGAGAGACAATTCCATATTTTGCTTTATGAAGAGGGGTGCTTATGCCTTCTTCCCTGCCAGGCTCCCGCTGGGTTGCAAACAGAGACAGAAATGAGCACCTAAGGGGGAGAGATGACATCACAGGCAAGCTGAAAAAAGGATGTTTGTGATCAGCTGCAATGCAGATAATCTGGAATAATTAAGAGGTTCTTTATCTTTAAAGCTCTTTCTTTTTCCTCTCAAATGTGGGAGGGACCCTCTCCCCATGTGTATGTCTTTCTCTGAGGTCTCCCCAGCACACTGTCAGCTTTGGGGGGCAAATAGCATGTCAGTGGGAAGGCTCGATTCCAGCCACTCCACCTTCCTTACAGCCTCTAAACCAGTGGTTCTCAACCTTCCTAATGCCATTGCCCTTTAATACGGTCGCAACCCTCAGGTTCAATTCCTGTCTGCTTCTCTCCTTGTGCATTTTCAGTTCTCTTGCTCCTCCCTCCTTGTCCAAATCCTCCCTGTCATTCAGAATCCAGACAAAGTCTTGCTTTTTCTCCAAAGTATCCACCCCAGTTCTCTGTGACAGTCCTCCTTTCTTTGAACCCCGTGGCAATCGTGTATACTGTGTTTGAGATTTACCATGTACTAGACCGGGCTGTTAGTTAACTTTGCATGTGTGTCCATCTCCCAACTAGACTGTGAGCTTGCTTCCCAAGCCCAGGGGAAAAAGTCTGCATAGAAAATAATAACTGGGTGAGAAGGACTCGAGTACCATTTAGTATGCCCATAAAATTGCGATGCCCATGTTTCCTGGATTGTCAGCTGTCCCTGGCTGTGTTTGTTTGCCCCTCAGTGCCACTCGTTCAAAAGGGCTCTTCTCACAATAAGCCCCAATCACTCAGTCAGACTTATATGTCTGAAGTTCTTTGCTTTTACTATTATCTTCTGCTGAGACTCTGCCTCTCTTAGAATTCTAGTGCACTAACCAAGCAGCCCTTGTCTGACCATTTCTCTGTTCTCATTTGAGTTTACAGTCAGTTATCTCTTCTCAATCTTCTTCCATGTTTTTTTTCCATTTCCTCTATAATTTCTATGGAAAACCTCACCTTTCTCTGCAGATGAACTGATTACAAATCATCAACTATCTAAGAAGTCTCAAAGGAGTGGTCCATTCCTTACACAATATACAGAAAGGTGTGAGCCCATCAACACTGGAATTGCCCACCGGGGCTGTGGAGTGGGGATGGCAGCTCTTGGCATGATGTAGCTTCTCAAGGAAAAGCCTCACCACCCCCAATTTGGAGGTGTTGGCTTAGAGCTGCTCTGAGTCACGGGTATGATTGCAAATTCAGAAAGTTGGCATTCACTGTGTATGGAATGGTCACTGGGTCAGTCATGCTCCCAGCAAGAGGCATGCACATTGCTCTTGCAAGGGTAGTTCATGCCCCCATGGTTCTGTGGCAAGCATGATAATAAAACACAGGAATAGACATTTCTGCCATCAGGACACCGAACAATGGCACTTAGGTGTCCACTGATGTCTCACTGACTCCCCAGCAATGGCTTATGTGAAGCCAATTACTTATTCTCCCATTCATCTAGCCTTTTAACATGTGGAGACAAACCAGAGAGATAGGATCATGTGTGCCAACTGTCCCTTCCTGAGATTCCTGGAGCTCTGATTTACAAATCAGCTTTGGAAAGTCTAAATTTAGATTCACCTCCTGCCTGCTCAGATCCTCTCAAACCGCACGCTCTTGACTTTTGACAGGAGCTTTGGCCCCCAGCAAGGTGCTGACATGTCACACACACCACTTTCTTCCTTTTCCTGAACACCCCCAAATTTGCGGGGAATCCTTCTCCTGTGGGCAGACGCTTACAGCTGACCGGGCTATACCCCATACAATTCTAGGTGGCACCATTCCTATTACAGTCGGGTCTGTCTGACTCTAAGGTTCACGATTCTGATTTGTCACTGTTCTATGTGAATGAAGTCCTCTAGACCTGGGATAGGCAAACTTTTTCCATAAAAGGCCAGAGCAACTGAAGCTTCATCTGCACTTACTGCTCTGCTCCCCGTTGCTCACATTGCTCTTGCCAGACTGGCAGCAGCATTAGAATCTTGTAAGCGCACGAACCCGACTATAAATTGCGTGTGCGAGGCATCCAGGCTGCATGCTCCTTATGAGAATCTAATGCTGATGAACTGAGGTGGAGCTGAGGAGGTGATGCTAGTTGGGGAGCAGTTGCAAATACCGATTATCATAGCAGAGAGGTTTGACTGCACAGAGACCATAATAAATCAAATGCTTGAAGACTAATAGCAAAACCATTCCTCCCACTGGTCCATGGAAAAAATCATCTTCCATGAAGTCAGTTCCTGGTACCAAAAAGATGGGGGACCACTGACCTAACAAACTAGGCACAGGGTTGGTCTAGGTAGGAAAAAAAGAGGTAAAGAGCACATGGATTCTGATCTCAGGAAGCTTGTATTCACATCGGGAGAGAGGAACCACAGCAACAATTG